TTGGCTAATTATCTTTCATACTTGTCCTGCTATTTTTGCTCGAGTGTATGCGTGTGTGTTAGCGTCTATACGCAATTAGTAAGCATTTATTCGGTCTCGGATGTCTAAAGTGATCTATCATTCGAAAGTTGAGGCTCCCCACAATAAAAGGACCAGGCCTAAAGATATCATTTCACCTGGCTTTTCTTCAAAAACTGCTTATAGCAAAAGTAGCATGATAATCACATTTGATTAATTAACAGCCCCACTTAAATGTGAGTTTAGCTGTCATGGTTGTGGTGGAATGGTAGCGTCGCCACGATGCTCACAAACCGGTGGTCGATGCCATTTGTGTTGCGAAGTTGAAAGGGTTATTTCGTCCGGTCTGGATTAGTTAGCTTTTTGGTAGATCAGGCTAAGTGAAATTCAGTTATAATATGTATTCACCCAATTTCGTTTTAAGGTGATGAAGGACTGGTAGAAACAGAATTTTCCCACAAATGATATGAGTTGAGCTGACGTTTCCATTGAATTTTTACATAGCTTTGCTTTCCCAGTCCTTCATCACCTTAAAAAGAAATTGGGTGAATACATCTTATAACTGATTTACTGGTAGTTACGAAAAACAATACTTAATTCGAAAAAAATAAGTGAAATTCACTTCCATAAGACTTGTATTCATCCTAGGTCGATTAAGATGTTGAAAGTTGAATAGTTGATTTTTGACAAAATCCAATGAGTAGGCTTTCCGATGATATTACATTTCCCATAGTCTGGTTTCTCAGAAGGTGTTTAGGAAGCAAAAATATATGAAATTCACTTAAAATGTGACGCCTATTCTAATGATTGTGAGAAAAAATCCATTAATTATTCATCATCATCAGCTTATATGACCATTTGGTAGGTACAGTTCTCAGTAAAGATCTACAAGAGGTCTCGAAATCTACTAAATAAGAATATAAATATTCAGCAAACCAGGCTGACCAAGCACTGGTTCAACAAATGCGAATGTTATCGTTTTTGGAAAGGGTCTGCGCCCACTTATTCACAGGTTTTGGTAGTAAGGTGAGTCACTTCTTCTCAAAGGGCCTTCAAAGCTTCGTCTAGGCTGATTTGGCCCTCTGGACCTCGGCTCCAGAAGCAAAGGACAGACGTCTATTCAAGCCTGAATTCAAAGTAGAATGCATTCTTACTCTCTCTATCGTTCTAATTTGGCAGATTCACTATTTGTTCAACAAAAACCTAGTCTTACCGGTTATGTCCCAGCAGCAGTCAACTTAGTCTAACTCAAAACTTTCGTTATTATGCCGATTGTTTTTATTTGTTATATTTCTTGTTGGGGGACTTTCATTTCGTGTGAAAGTGAATGAAGAAGAGATTCGTTGTATAGAGGTTGTTTGACCTTGTTTTCGCAACATGGTCATATTGGTAGGAAGACTCATTGGAA